GACGCGTGGGTCGCGGACCCCCCCCCGGGGGCCTGCCGCTGGAGGGATGCGCAGCCGGCAGCTGGGGATGTGCAGCCTTCATCCCTTCCCTCCTCCTCTTCCTTCCCAAATTTAATCGTGGGGGGGGGTGCAACTCCGAAAGAGGTGAGGGATGCTGGACTTGTGGTCACCCAATATCCTGGGGTTGGGTGCGAAGATGCTGGGGGGTGCAAAGATGCTCGGTGGTCCCAGCGCCCAGGTCCAGACCCAGGGGCTTTACAAGGACCTGAAGGTGCCGAGCCCCAAAATCACCCCCTAGGAAGACTCCAGCCCTTAACAGGGGGCACTTTTCCCTCTTTTGGACCACAGGAGGAGGCAAAAGGGGGGTCCCCAACAGCGTTACCCCCCCTTTTCATCACGGCTGCGATATCAGAGCGTGTCGTGGGTGGGAATAATTGATTTTGGACTCAGCAGATGATGGAGTGGGGGGGAGCTGAGGTGGAGGGGGAGAAGAAAATCCCAACTTCACATTTCACTGCTGATGGAGACGCCAGACCTCAAGATTTGGTTGGGGGGGGGCAGATTTGGTCTCTCCAGCATCAGGGATCGATGCTGCCTTTGCTTCGGGAAGGCCAAATCAAGCTCGACCTCCAATGGTTTCTCCCGCAAACCAACATCACCCCACGTTTTATTCCCATTTTGGTCACCTCCACCGGTGCCAGGACTCCCCCCAAAACCTCTCCCCGCCCCACCTCGGCAATTAAATACTAAAATCTGCCACGGTGCTGCGATCCTATCTTGGTAATTTCTTGTAACGACTCCCTGGGAAGGGCTGGGGATGGGAGCGAAACGCGTCGGCGCGCTTTTCGGTTCGGCTACGGCTGTTAAACGCTCCCTTTTAATGCCCCCGGGCGAGACCTCGGATGTGCCAGCGCTTGGGCAAGCATAAAAATAAGAAATAAATCTAGAAATGGGTGGAAATGCCAAAAAAGTGGGGAAACGGCAGCGTGGGAATGGTTGGAAGGGACCTGCCTGGTGCTGGGGGCAAGATGAGGGCTTGGATTTTGGGTGTGCAGGAGCCATGGGTAGCCTGGGGTGAAGCGGTTCCTTATCATGCATGGAGATAGGGAAGCTGGTTTTATATATACATATATATACACACACATATAGATAGATAGATACATATATATAAATACATATGTGTATATATACACACTATATATATAGTAGAAATATATATATAAATATATTTCTTT